AGATGTTAACTGGATGGATGTGATATTCATAAGAGTCCTAGGAAAGGGAGTTTTCACATTCGCTAAGGTTATTCCTGACTCTTCCAGGACCTCTGAGGACCTGGGAGCCTTCAATACACCCTGGACATTCTGGGCACCATCCTATCCTGCCCCACCCATGGAGCCTGCTTTGCCACATTCTCACCAAGGACCCTGACCACCCTATCAATTGGGGCAGCTTCTGCCAAGTTGTCCTAGTGTCTTAGGTTGACTCTACTCGGCACTTAATCCCCGTGGAAAATGGCACCCCTGTAGAGGGACTGACCAGGAAACCCATAAATTCTACCCTGGCCAAAAATGATGCCCACTGCCGCATCAGTGTCACATTGTAGCCCAAGGAGACAGCTCTGTCCAGCCAGGTGCTGAGCAATCAACATCTGCCAAGTGTATACCTTTAACCCCCAAAGCAAATAGATCCTTCTCTTCTGCCATCGAGGATGTTAGTACTCATGTTAGTACTTTCTCATGTTAGTACTCTGCCTGACTAACCTTGATGCCAGATTTTGACATTACCTGCCAGCTTTTAGAAAACGAATTTCCTTTTTTTATAAGACAAGGTCTTGCTCTGTAACCCGGGCTAGAGTTGCAGTGGCATAATCATGACATTCTGTAGTCTCGGCCTCCTGAGTATCTGAGACTCCAGGCACATACCACCACGCCCAGCTGATTTTTCTTTTTGTTGTAGAAACAGGTTTTGCTTTGTTGCCCAGACTGGTCTTAAACTCCTGACCTCAGGCATTCCTTCTGCCTTGGCCTCCTAAAGTCCTGAGATTATACACATGTGCCACCATGCCTGGGAAAAAAATGAATTTCCTATGTGTATGTTTTTAGGCCCCCTTTTCATGATATCTTTATTTTATTTTATTTTATTTTTTGAGTCGGAGTCTCACTCTGTCGCCCAGACTGGAGTGTAGTGGCCGCTCCCGGCCACCGCAGCCTTGGCCTGCTGGGCTCCAGCGATCCTTCCGCCTCAGCTTTCCAAGTAGCCGGAACTACAGGTGCGCGCTACCACGCCTGGCTGATTTTTGATTTATTGTAGAGATGAGGTCTCGCCAAGTTGCCCAGGCGGGTCTTGAACCCGTGGGCTTAGGCAATCCACTCACCTCGGTCTCCCAAAGCGCAGGATTACAGGCTGAGTCACCGAGCCCGGCTCATGATATCTAATTCGGATCCACCTTCTAAACAAGAGTCCTTTCAGACTTGGTATTTTTCAATACAGAGGACATTATTTTAGGCCTCTCACTTGGCTGCGATGTAGCAATGGTGATTATTCTTAGCCAGGGTGGGACCTATGAGTTTCTTCAGAGGGGTTGGATGTGCCAGGGGTTTGAGACACTACTGACAGTCTTGAATGCGCATGTTGGCAATAACTCTGCCACCGCCACCCTCAAGAGGACTCCCAGTTGGGAAGACTGCTCCTTCCACCGGCCCAAACTCACTTCTGCCCGGGTACTACTAACATTGGAAGGCAACCCATACGATCATCAGGGATTCTGCACTTAAATTTCAAGGGCCCGTGTTATTAATTCCTTAGTACCTACCTCCTATTGCTTGCCTCAATCATTAAAATAAGTACTTATTAATTTATTTTTAAAGACATAAATCATTTTTTTGAATAGGTAATCTATACACAGAGTGAGTTAGTTGGGTGCCCACCTAAAAGGCAACCACTGTTATCAATTTCAGGTACTCTAATACGTGTATTTGACAGCTTAAAAGTGTCAGCCAGGCTCGGTGGCTCAGCGTGTAATCCTGCGCCTTTGGGAGGCCGAGGTGAGTGGATTGCCTGAGTCCGCAGGTTTGAGACCCGCCTGGACAACTTGCTGAGACCTCATCTCTACAATAAATCAAAAGATTAGCCGGGCGTGGTAGCGTGTGCTTGAGGTTCCAGCTACTTGGAAGGCAGAAGGATCGCCGGAGCCCAGCAGGTCGAGGCTGCGGGGG